ATCGTCAAAATCTGGAATTACATTAAGGGCTGAGGTGAAACCTGGATCACATTATGTTTCATGTATATTATTAAGGTATGATGTCCTGGATAGCATTTTAAAAACTCAGGTAAGTTTCATGGGGCTTTTCTTATAAGAAAATTCAGTAAGACAGTATACCAAACCCAATGTAAAAATAAGTTTAAAATTCAGTAAGACAGTATGCCAAACCCCAATGTAAAAATAAGTTTATTTTATGTATCTGATGGTTCTTACAGCCTGTAAATATTCAACATTATTCCATTTAAACATTGTTTTTAATAGCTGTCTACCTTGTTCTGATTTTCCTAAAGCTTCACACTACATAGGCTGGGCATGATAGCCCATGCCTGCAATCCCAACACTTTGGGAGGCCAATGAGGGTGGATCACTTGAGGTCAGGAGTTCGAGACCAGTCTGGCCAACATGGCAAAATCCCATCTCTACTTAAAAATACAAAAATTAGCCAGGCATGGTGGTGCACATCTGAAATCCCAGCTACTTGGGAGGCTGAGGCAGGAAAAACGCTTGAACCCAGGAGATGGAGGTTGCAGTGAGCCAAGATTGCACCACCGCACTCTAGCTTGGGTGACAGAACAAAACTTTCAGAAAAAATATAGTAAAATTAAATTTTAAAAAAGTTTCATACTCTAAACCTTAATTTTAATGACATATTGCCTAGTCAATAGACAAGCCTTATGTCTTTTCTGGTAATAAACTGGCCTTGTGTGTTCAGTTTCCTTTCATACTTAAGTCTTTCCTGAATTGCTGTCGTCATTCAACAGCAGTTGCATGGTGCCTTGCTGTCAAAGTAGATTTCGTCCCCAAATGGATATCTGTAATGAAAGAATACAAAGGTGAAATTTTACTTAAAATTTTTTAAAAATAATTTTTGTTTTTGGATTAAAAGGCGATAACTGCAAGCAGCATTAATTCCACTCACAGTTACAGTCCATCACCTGGGGATTCACTACTTTTCAGAATCAGATCACAGATCAAAAGACAGCTCTCACCATGGGGGCATATTCCCCAATCAGTGTGAACACATCTTGTCCCCAGAGGACTACTTTATATGCATGGATGTTCACAAATTTATTCTAAACCACAGGTGTCTGTCAGAATTCATTTGTTACATGCCCGCTGTGTTAAAAATCTTAAAATCCTTTTGCACTTCTTAGAAAAAAATAATCTATCTGAAGAAATACTAAAGATGTTTGCAGTATTAAATTAGAATATACTAACATGTATAATTTTTTTGAGACAAGGTCTTGCTTTGTCACCCAGGCTGGAGTACAGTGGCTCAATATAACTCACTGCCACCTTGCGATCCCCCTGCCTCAGCCTTCCAAGTAGCTGGGACTACAGGCATGTACCAACATGCCTGGCTAGTTTTATTTTTAGTAGAGACAAGGTCTTGCTTTGTCGCCCAGGCTGGTCTTGAATTCGTAGGCTTAAGTCATCATCCTGCCTTGACCTCCCAAAGTGCTGGGATTGTAGGCATGAGCCACTGCACCTGGTCTAAAATGAAATTGTTACAGGCATGTAAGTAACACTTCTTGGATCAAAATGTGTATTCTGCATTTTATATTTAAAAAAAAAATCAAAAAGTGCTTGGGATACAAATGTCTGCATGAAAATTTACAGACTTTATTCCTGACTGGTATCATTTTTAGTTAGCAGCTGAACATAACTTTATAGTTGTGAATATGGTTAAAATAAAGGACACCTGATGTATATGAAATCTGCTAGCTAAGGACAGGTACAAAATTAATGCATAGCTTTTTAAAAAGTTTAAAATGTACAATCAGGAGAAGGGCACAAAAAAGAAAAAAAAAAGTTTAAAATGAGGAATGCTTTTGATAATCAGAAAAACTAAAGTGCTGACTCATGGCCTGTCTGCAGTTAATGAAGGCACCAAACTATTTTTTCCTTATCATGGTATTCTTCTCTGTGTAGAGATCTCTAAAAATTCAAACGTCCTGTGGACAAAACAATATGATTTGCTATAATATAAATAAGATATGCTAATATCTAATAGTCTCCACTGCTAGGATTCTGAGTAACAAGAAAAAGAGGTCTTATAAAAAGCCCATACATGGCCAGGCGCGGTGGCTCAAGCCTGTAATCCCAGCACTTTGGGAGGCCGAGGCGGGTGGATCACGAGGTCAAGAGATCGAGACCATCCTGGTC